CGTCCGTACGGCGACGACGACGACGACCGAACGAACCGTACCGTACGTACGTACGACGTACGTAGTAGTAGTAAGGACGGACGACGACCGTACCTCGTACTATACTATATATATATATATATATATATGTGTGTGTGTGTGTGTGTGCGTGCGCGCGCGCGCGCGCGCGCGCGTGTGTGTGTGTGTGTGTGTGTGTGTGTGTGTGTGTGTGTGTGTGTGTGTGTGTGTGTGTGTGTGTGTGTGTACTAGCGTAAGCACGTTACAAGGTTTATTGTGAATGCTTTCGTTGTACAACTTCATATTTCTGCTGATAGTATGTGAACACGTTGACAGATTGCAGATCGATATCAGCACTTTTGTACGAAACCTCTTTGAATTCACCATAGACCTAGACCCTTAAAGTAAAACTACCTTGAAACAGTGTTTCGCAGTTACTACTCGTACAATTTCACACACAAAAATGCATCGCATCCAAGGAAAGCAGTGCCACACAATCGCAAGTCTGTGTTGATTGTTCCCGCGGAGGTCCAACAGTTCCATAGCGACAACCTTTACTATCCAGCTACAAATACTTAACACTAAGCGACTTTTTGTTGGTTTACACACGATCTTATGTGGACCGTCAAAAGCCCGCCGTGCGTGCGCTGCTGAAATGTGCACGCACGCACTCTGTCTATCGCCGGTAAGACAGTCGCAATCTCACAACGTCAATGCGAAATACTGATTTGAACTGCACATGAATTATGCAGATTTGTTTTCAAACTGGTTTCATATCTGTAGCAGCCTGTTTATCGTCTAAATTATCTGTCGGTGTGTCTGTTACTCCGTCCGTCCGTCTAGCCATCCATCCGCCCATGAATCCATCTATCTATCCATTCGTCCATCCTGCCATTTCCCTCTCTCTTTCGCATGTGCTCTGTGGGAAAGTTCCAGCGATCGAAGTGGAAACAATCAGCGGCGGCATATTGCAGCCTGTCAACCCTGCTATCCTGCAATAAAGTCCCGATACCGTATTAAAATACCGCGCGTCTTTGTCGTGCACAATGGCAACTGTGACCACGAGCGGTTCCCACGTGACAATTATCCGTGATTAGGGGCGGAGGCAGT